AGGCATCTATATTACATCTATAGTGTTGTGTAGTTCTAAATATGTTTTTAAAACGCACATTTGAAGGTAAATTTGGTTAAATAAGCAAATGGATAGACTATATTTTATACGTTCCCTTCTTAAACTAAAAATATATCTTTTTGAAGATTATAAAGTGAATAGATCAAGCCTTGGCCAATCAAAAAGATGCGAACGATGTACTATTTTCTAATATAGGGAAAGGTGTCATAATTCTTGTATTATATAAGGTAGGTAGTTTTCAAATAAGTCCGTACTAGAATTTAAACATAGTATAGATTCAATCCTTGTCCTTACTAAATTCTATTATTTTTATAGAAATCAATGTGTTAGAGACATCGGAAAAATGTTTAAGCATGATTATAGATTACCTTTGTCATTGAATAAACGAAGCATTGGCGCTAAGTTTTACCAAATGTTGGCCACAATAGATCGAAATATAAACAATAAATGAATTTTGTATTATTACATTAATACAAAATAATGACGATTTATTTTGTCAGAATTCGGACTTTGCGGAACACAATAAAAGTGCCAATGAGGAACGTCGTAACATGTGAGGGTTTTTTTTTCGTTATGTTTCAGCGGGACGGTTCCGCTTAATGCGGAACGGTAGGCTCATCTGCAAGTAGCACATAAAACTGCACCACGTCTAGTAGAAAAAACCCAGCTTTGGAATCCCTGAGAACATATAGTTTTGAGTAGGATGATCAGAAATAAAATAATTTTGTGATGATCTCTTACTCTAAAAAAATATATCTTCTTTTACAGCTTGTATGAAAATGGGTGAAGTTTATTAGAATCTGTTTATAAAGAGCTAATAAACATTTTCTAGTCAACACGGGTAAATCGCGGTCGTTCGAAGCGTAAAATCCATCTTTGTCACTGTAATTTTAAAAAAATACAGTGCAGGATGTGCAGACAGGATGCGTAATTTGAAGTCGTAGTTCTTTAGTATAGTTCCATGTTTGGACCATAGACTTATATATACTACTAGACTGGAAACCGGAAATAAAAGCTTATCCGCGACTAATCGATCATGAACATTTTGTAGAAAGTTGGATCAAGGCGTTGTTTTGTAAAGTAGTTAAAAGAAGTGAAGTTGTTGTTTTTTTCAACCCTAACCTATGTAATATATAATTTTATTTTTTAGATCTAGATCTAGTTATCTTGCTGGTCCTTTACTATCTGTAGCTATTCAGAGGCCTTTCCTCGTACGGAAAGTATTAATCCAGTTGCTTTTTCATCGTTCATCTCTTTGATTGTAGAAGTACAATCTAATGATGACCAGTCAATACTCCCAGTAAAAAGAAATTTCTTACCCTTATGGATATATACATATCCCGATTCATTAACGCGAATTAAAGAAAACAATCCTCAGTCGCGAAATCAATAATCGTAACTAAAGTTTAACACATTAGGTATTTAGAGTGGAACAGGTTGACAGCAATACTGAATAGCCTACATTACCTGTGTGAGCAGGTCAGGAGGCGCGAGAAGACCTTTTCTCTGTTCAACAGTAAATTACATTAACAGTAGGCAGATGTTAGCGCTACTGGGTGGGCTCGATCTGGGCTCTAGAGTCACATATGTAACTAGACATACTAACCTAAACTAACTGAAAGCACCAACAAAACTTTACTTGAAATTAAATAAGACAAAATGAAACTTTATTTACATAAAAATAAATCAGTAATATAATATAATATATATACACACTAACCACTACAACTGAACCCAGCAACTAACTAAAACCCTCTAAATCTACGCCACTACCAAACACCAACAAACTAACCAAACCAACTATCTAACACAAACTGATCAAACCAACTATCTAACTAAATCATTACAACTACTACACTAGACCTAGATCTACACTAACACTAAAACAAGAACACCTTAGTACCTTACTATTCACTAAGAACACTAAGCCACTAGATCTAAGCCGACTAAGGCAACACTACAAAAACAAAATCAAAATAACACTAGATTCCCTAGATCTACAGAAGCAATAACAATAGCAGTAATAAATGCAGCAGAGGTTACAGCAGAGTAATAGCAGTAAAAATAGCCGCATGTATTTCAGCAGTAAAAATAGCAGGCCGTCCCAGGTACAGAATAATAAAATAAGTACACGACAGACCACAAAGATCTTCAGCTGTCACACAGACAGAGATACTGTACTGACCACTGGTCAAATGTACACTCAACTGTTTTAAGACAGCATGTACATCACTTATTATATCATTTCGCACTAACCTATATAAAAATATGCGGAAGTACAATTATAAAATCTGACACTAACCTATAAAAATAAAATATATAAAAATAGCTCTAAAAATACATATAAGAATAGCTCTGGGAGCGCAAGCTCACACCTGTATTAAATATAGATGACTGCCTGGTCGTCTCGTTGGTCCCGAGTTCGAACCCTGCTATATAGAGACTAGATCTAGAAAATTTCCAGTCTAGATCAGACTCGGGAGATCTACAATCTATAGGCAAATTTAGGAAATCTAGGCACCGGATATTTAGGCACCCGGAAATTTAGGCACCTGGATATAATTGGGCACCCGGAAATTTAGGCACCTGATAATTAGGTACTTTTTGACCAGGGCGGGAAATAAGGCACCGGAAAATTAGGCACTCTTTAATTAGCGACCTTTATTTTAAAAATAATTTAAAAATTTTAACATATATTTTATCCTTAGGCTATGGGCTATCGGTGACGTTATAAAAAAAAAGCAACTATAACGATTCTAACTAAAGAAAAGCTGATAAAATGGGGGAAAAAATGACAATCATGAGAATGTGCGGAAAAAATGACTCTTGATTAAGAGTCATTATGTAATATAGACATCACAGGATTCAGGGGAGGGGAGGTAGAGATGATTCTCCGCTCATTGCTTCCCTCCATCATCAACCCCTAAGGTTGACTGGTGAGTTTCTTTAATGGATGATTATGCAATTTGTGTAAATATTTAGTTACTTTACTTCGTGGGAGAGGGTGGTAGAGTGAAAACGTTAATCCTCGCTCCTTTGCTATTGATTGCGTTTGGCATTAAAGAATAGGTGGTCGGGCGACTTGATAAAAGAATTTAATTTATATAAATTATATTAGTGACAATTTTTTTTTAATCTTGTAATACAAAAAGAAAAAGTATTGGTTTGTCCGATGGGCGGAACGCGATTGCATGTATCGCCTCTCCCATCTGGTACAACTTTTAAAAATTTTATATTTACTAATGATAAAATTTGAGATCAGAGTGTGTGTGCGATATAATATACAAAAGGTTTAAAACATCAATATGTAGCTTATACTATATAGAAATTCAACTAATTTTGTTCACAATATTTAATTTCTAACTAAAAGGAGGACCGCCCACGCCACTCAAAGGGTTTAGGTTGGAAGGGTCCACCCAATCGACTAACAGGGAAACGACATAATATAAAGAAAAAGTTTTTCATTATATAGATAAAGATATTTAATTAATTCCGTTAACAAGCTGTTATTTCTACAAAGAAATTGGACCGCCCCCTCCACTTGAAAGTTTATGGTGAAGGGGGGGGGGGCGGGATTGATGTCATCGCCACCTCCCCATACCACCAAATCGGCCAACATACTAGAGGGGGGTGAATTAATTTAAAAATAAAATGAAATATAAATAACTAGTATATATTATTAACATAACTAATAAATTCGTATACAATTGTGTGATTTCTTTAATAAGATTCGTCCTCCCCCCCCCAACCCGAAATCTGCCGAGTGGAGGGGCAAACGCCCCTACGGCCCCCCCTTCCCGGATCCGCCAGTGGCTCAGGCCTGGACAGCCTCCACCACGAAAGTTGCACTTTAAAACAACTTGTAAAAAATCATGGAAATTAGTGGAGGGGGGGGGGGGGCGGACGATTATAGTATAGAATTTAAAATTTTTTAATGAATTTATTACTTATGTTAATAATATCTACTAATTATTTATATTTCAGTCTATTTTTAGATTACTTCGCCCCCTCCTCTAGTATGTTGGCCGATTTGGTAGGGTCAGGAGGGGGCAATGGCATCAAACCCGCCACCTAAACTTTCGTGTGGGAAAGGGGGGGGGGGTCCAATTTATTTGTAGAAATCACAACATGCTAAGAGAATAAATTAAATATCTATATGGTTAAAACGTGTTTTTGGTGTTTTAAGCGATCTTTATATTATGTCGTTCATCTGTTGGCCGATTGGGTGGGGGGCGAATACCTATACTATACTGCTCTTCTGCCCTTTCCACCTAAACCCTTTGAGTGGGGGGGGGGGCGGTCCTACATTTTTGGGGAAATCATAGTTTGTGAACAAAATTAGTTAAATTAAAATATAATTTTATTATTATGTCGCTCCCCTTCTGGTATCTTGGCCAATTCGGTGGGGTAAAGGGGGGGGGGGACGCATCTACTGTCCTCCCAACTCTAGTCCTCTGAGTGGGAGGGGCGGTTTTATTTTTATGGAGAAATCATAGTTTTGAATCGCCCCACCCCTATTCTTTAATGCCAAATGCAATCATTAGCAGAAATTATAAAAAGGAGCAAGGATTAATCGTTTTCACTCTACCACCCCCTCTTTCCAGACGAAAACATGATGTTTTAAAACAGAATAGTCAAATAGGGCGTCAGAGTTCACGTAATTTCACATGAATTTATCATACTTTTTTTTAAGAAAGACTTTGCTTTGGAAAATTTAGAATTCATATAAAATTTTTCAGTATAAGAGTAACGTTTGAGATGAGTTCTGAACCCAAATATTCTTTTCCTAGTCGCCTTTTTGCAACCTTTACTCAATCTGCTATTTTTCTAGTTTAATAAATTTGGCACTATAGCTCACAATTTATGCTTGAATGAAGTTGAATCCTAAAAAATGCAAAAAAAAAAAAAAAAAAAAAAAATTAGAGTAGAATCTAATAGGTCCACTTAATTTCTCCTCCCACTTTCGAAATTTTTTGTTAGAGCTTTGAATTATAGTTATATAACAAAACAAAGTTACAACATGCCTATTGAACAAAATGTACCACTTACGAATGAGCTTTTTTTTTTAAATATTATTTTTTTGAACATTTTTTTTCTGCGGCAATCCTAAAAGCCTTATCTAAATATGTGGGATATCTTCAAATCGTTTTATTTGCAATGTATTAAGGGCCTATAAATTCATATTAGAATACTTTTTTTAAGTAAAACATTATTGAAAAGGTCATTTTTAATAGGATGATTAATGAACTGTAGATGTTATAAGAATGCGTTTCTGCAGTGAAGAATGTAAAAATAACGCTTTTGGCGTCGTGGTTTCGCACCGAACACCACTGAAGAATAGTAAGCTGTAGATGTCAGGTGAATGCGTTTCTGCAGTGAAAAATACAAGCTTTGACCCGAACCCCACTGTGGTGGCTTACAGCGCTACCCCAAACCACCAAGCTATTTGGGTTTGGAAAAAAATCGCCCCCCCCCCCCCAACTCCAAAGTTCCGGATCCGCTTGTGAGTCAAGCATGTACGTAGATCTATCTTTACACTAAAATAGTTACACACCCTCCCTGCCAAAAAGTAAATCGACCCAACAAATTTAGCCATATTTGTAACTACTTAAGTATTAGTTTCCCTTGTTGCTATTAAACTAATGAATTAATTACCAGTATTTAATCGTCTAATGGACCTCATTCACCAACCGTAAAGAAAACATTTACTCACGGAAAATATTAATAGAAAAACGAAAAAAAACTGTCATGTGATAGCCTTTGTGTATTTAAAATTTGATCGTATTTTGTATAAAAGAGATAGAGAATCAATCCCGATCCCCACCAAATCGGACAACATACGATACTAGAGAAGGGGGGATGATACACGAATCACAGAATAAGTTAATATAACCTTTTTTTTTTTTAATTCCTTGACTATAATGCTGAATAGTGGTAACTTACTTGTTAATGTCAACATTTAATGTTTATGAGTGTGAAAGGTTTTTACGGTGTGAACGTATATTTTGATTAAGTCCTACTTGTAATGTACATAAAATCGGCAAATGTTTTTGTATTATCGAAATTGAAAGTTTTGGATGAAAGTCATATTATTATTTTATACATTCGTTTTCTTATTATTTTGTGCATTATTTTGTTTCAATTTCATGGGAAAAGGCAACTTTCTGATCAAATATTTCGTTAATCTTGTTGAGAAAAAAAGTTTCTGTTTGATCTTTCCTTTCTCCCCCTCCCCCCCCCCATGTTATCGTATTTTTTTTCTCTCTCATTTAATTAGTTCTCTTCCCAATCATCTATGTTACGTCTTGTATCTTCTTATTTTTCGCAAACTGTGTATTTATTATTTACCATAGTCTCACTTATTCTGTCTAGGCATGAAACCAGATCTTCCCAGTCCTTGCTGCTTATCAATTTTGGTCTTGTGACGGGACGACACTGCTCACGATAACTAAGAGCTCGCTTATCCTGTGCTAGCGGTATGTGAAATAAAAAAAAAAGCTATTACCGCCCTGTTGTTTTCTGTTTAAAGTTTAATATAACTCCTAAAAAGGTAAGTTGGTCTTTTTAATTTAAGAAAAAAACTTCTTTTTTTCTATTTTTTAATCGTAAAAAAAGCTTGTATTGTAAAAAGTTATGATGTTGACATATTTTCAGACATTTAACAATAAATTAGAGATCAAACTTTTGTAGTAGACAGAGGAATATGGAGGTCCTTCGATAATCGTCCATACCCTTATTGTATGTTATATGTCTACGTCAGTCGCATTAATAGTGTAAAAGACAAACTCCGTAATTGATGAATTGTAACACTATCTATCAACATACACAGCAACTTATAACAGAGTCACACAATGTATAAGAATTTCAAATTGAAAAATATTTTTGTACAGATTCTGCTGTCCACATCAAAAAATGCACACACACACATATATATATAGATAATAATATATATATATACACACACAAAGTAAAGATTTTCTGTTTTCTACAGCACCAACGTATTACAATTGACTTGACACCATGCGGCCTTACCAGACTTGCTGTACAATATATTTAGGTTTAATTACTATCAGCATCTTCTTCAATATTGAATGTTTGCAAACTAGAATTCCGTAAGTTGAATCTTCTTTTTTAAATAAACCCCTAATCTATAACGTGTTTTTAATATCATTTAATTGCCAGCCTACCAGGAATAATTTTATATTGCATATTTTATAGTTATGAAACTGTTAAAGGTTGGCATAAAATTAACAACTGTGTGCGTTTGTAAGTACCACTGTAGTATTTTAGACTCGTAAACGACTATTTTCCTGATAAAGGTTTGGCTTTTTTCCGTCCCTAAAAATATTGCCTCAGACATATAAACTTTTTGCCCTACACAGGATATGTGCATTTCTTCTACATTGTTCATAAAAGCATTTGACAGAACATTGTTATTTGTGCAGTCTTGCCATTGTATGCCCATGGTGGAGTGCAGACACTTTTGGTTAAAGCGTTCAAGACGCATTTGTTGCTTTCTGTAGAGTCACTGGCTGATCCGAAGGGGGGGGGGGGCGCATGGGCGCCCGCAGGATTTTTTGCAAGGGGATGCAAGCTGCCACCCATGGCTCAAAGTCGTATCCTCAACTTTCTTGTTATAATATTAATGAAAATAATTCTCCTTTCCCCTTCGGGCCCTCATACCGTACCTAATCGATATTAAATGCACAGTAGTTTTTTTTTCATGAAATAAAAAAAAAAAGAAACTAAACACGGGAATAAAGTATTGACTGTACACATTGTTAACTTTATCCGTGAGGCCCGTGCTTGCCTACGTTCGACCAAACAAAAACTGCAAATGTTGCTTGTGGTTGCAGAAACTGTCAATAACTTTACTTTTCGATGAACAAACTGGCGAACTCTTATCGCGCAGTTCCGATATTCTTATTTGCATTGCAGCGCTTGCATCGTTTTAGGATGAAGACAATAAACAATTTGAACTGACCGTTATTATTGCTCGAAAAGTGAGACGTAGGCTAATGAAGAAACTTAAGCATTAAGATATGTAACGTAAAGCCATGTTCTTTAATAACTCCAAAAATCCAAACGTGGTTTTTTCTCAGTGTGTCTGTCGACTGCGACTCAATATCCGGTATCAAGCTTTTCTGCCAGCAGTCTCTCAGGATGGCCAAGTTGGTTTTTGATTATGCCATTAATGTGACTGCTGATGTGCTGTTGAGCGGCCACTATGTTAAGTTGGAAAGACTGCAACACCATAGAAACTGGTACATAGAAACTGGTTCAAGAACTTAGGAATAATTGACGACAATGAAATGACAAATCAGAAACACAAGAGAAGGAGACATTTACTACACATGTGCAGTTCATCTGGTTTCACTTGCAGTCGTTATTTTAAGATCCGCCAAACAGTCTAAGATATCTAAGACTTAAAGCTCGAATGGATTTGTATTTTTCAGTTCATTGTGTCTAACGCAAAAGAGATAAATTTAGCACCAACGCTATCGCAATGGACAGTTACGGAAAAAGAATGCTAACCATCACGGGGCAGTCTTAACCAAGTAGTTTGTCCATGTCTAGACTGTACAATGACATTAGACACATGCATCACGTCTCTCTAAAAAACAGGAACTAAACCAATGAAGTCGAATACAATCGCAATGAACAAACCGAACGCTCAAAGAAATCTACTCAGTGCCTGAGATATCTGCAGTTTCATCACTAAAATACCCAGCAAATGCAGTTAATTCATGATGCTGCAGCTTGTATTTTTTGTGTGGTTCTTTTGGTTCCAAATCAACGTTTTGACTCGAACGATGTCATGTGTAGAACTTTCTTGTATCTCTTCTATTGTAAACTGGTGGACGTGTTTAACCTGCTGTTTTATCGAGCGCTGACACCGACCGCAATTTCGAAAGACTCTTTACTTTTGTTAAAAAGAAAATATAACATTTTCACATCGAAAGATTATAGGCAAAAAATATTCTAGACCTTAACTAAATATTATAAAAAAACAATTGTAGCATTTTACGTCTCGAGACGATTTTTTCCCTTTACAACTTCTTGTGTGACTGAAGAGGCAAACCCTTTGTATTTTCACCCTTCTTTCTACTACTATTGTGTATGGCATTTGCAATCTGGGACTTTTCCTTTATGCTCACTCTTCATGTGGATTAGTATACCTTAGTAGTGGACGACCAGTGGATCTCCTGCCTTCTGTTAAATCACCATACAGAATGTTATGTGAAAGTCGACCTTGTGGAATTCATTATAACTATGTGCAATTGTAAACAAATCGTCACAACTAGCATGCTATAGAATATGTGACATCATTTATAAAGCAAAGAATTGCAAGCCTAGAATAAATCGTACATGGTCGGACATGAGCTACAGATTTGCCTATTCTAGTTATAATAATAGCATATCTTTACAACTGTAATTCAGTGGAAGCACTACTTGTTAAGCTACTACACTTTATAATATTCTAATGATAGGCCTTTAGAAGACGATGCGCAAAATTCTCCTAAGCATTAATTAAGTAAACTCTTGAAAAAATAGTGCATGGGCATCCGCAGGGGTGGTACATGGTGGTGCACTTGCAACCCCCCCTCATGGATTCTGATTAAATCTAAATCTAAGTAATAAAAAAAAGATCTGGAAGATGTATTTCATTTTAAATTTTAAAAATGTCTAAAATGTGGCTACTCAGAATTCAGAGGCGTGCACATACATAGTTGGCCATCCATTCCATACGCCTAGGTTAATCTACTTATTTCTACTACTACATTATGCAGTGGAAGCACTATTGTTCAGTTGCTACTTAGAAGTTAATTGATTTGATGGTGCGAAAAAATGGCTAGAATTTGGCTACTCAGAGTTTTAGTAAAGAAATTACACAATTCGTATAAGAGTTTAGAGTCGCCCCACCCCCTTTTTCTTTATTACCAAGTGCAAATCATTATAAGAAATTATAAAAAGGACCGAGGACTCGATTAATTGTTTTCACTCTACCGTCCCCTCCCCTTTTCAGACGAAAGCATGACGTTTTGAAACAAAATAGTCAAATATGGCGACAGAGATTATGTAGTTGATGAATTTATCATGATTATTTTAAGAAAGACTTTGTTTCATAAGAAATAATCAGTATAATAGTAATAATTGAGATGAATTCTAAACACAAATATTTTTCCCTAGTCGCCTTTTTCTAACTTTTACTCAATCTGATATTTTTCTACTGTATAAATAAATTTGGGA